TCTCATGGTAACATTTGTATGTAGGGGATATCGTAAGTCGGTACAACTAGTCCGTCAAGAGAATATGACACTTGTCCTAAGAGTCCATGTTATGGAAGACAGTCATGGAGCGATACTTATCTTGTGAGGACACACTAAGTAGGGATGGTACACATGCACTTGAATATCCCTTTCATAGAGAAGCTTTGGAATATGAGACATTTTTTTAGTAAATGAGGCATGCCATTGGAAGAACGTACTAGAAGGGTCATACAAGATTGAGGAAATGAACGTATCAACATTCTAAACATAAGGGAAGCCGTGGACACATTTAGCATGCTTGTTGTACGAAGAATAAGAGTCCTAACATAAAAAAGTAACATGGGTATTCCGGGATATTTAAGCATATGACGTACAGATAATCTAGAATCTCATATTTGAGGACCACATATTGATACAATAAGAAGAACACATCGAATAGAAGAAGCGTATCATTGATTAGAACATGTAGGAGCTTCAAGATTGAGAGTTATAGCCTTACGTACGTTTGGTGCTTCTTAACCAACAATTGTCTCATGAGTTCCAGACGACACTATGAACGATTATCTACATCCTATAATACAATCAGTACCTATATTAATCTCCAGGCAATCAGTTTGCCCCATTCTACTTCTGGCTAAAAAGCCTAAATTTTCAAGGTTCTTGATTCCAAGATTTGTGTGAAATCTCAAGCTTGTAGGTATGTATCAACACCATTCCTGTTCATAAAAAATGTTTCACCAACATTACTGCATCAAAAATACTCAATCAATTTACTTACAATAAACCATACTGCTCATATAGTCATTCTCAACGAACTCACTACCTTCTCCAATTTCTATACTTCAAGTTAAATTCAATTGATAGTTTAATTTAATTATTTAGATTAAATACTTCATCTTAAACTTAAAAATATTAACCCCCATCTCAAAAGGTAGTAAGAAAATACAAGTGGAGTAAATGTGTTACCCTTGAAAGTATACTGATGGTGATTTATGGTTTTATGCTATGGAACCCTTGATGTGGTGATGTTAGACAGTATCAGTGTTTATCAAAAAAAGGAAAATATGTATTGCACAGTGATGTTTCTTGATTCTCCTTCTAAGCCGCTAAAAATGAAATAGCAGTAGGGTTGCATATATTCTATTCGTTGCTGCTATAAGAATTAAGCATATCCTCTGAATTTGTTTCCCCATGTTTTTATCAATGGTAGAAAGTCAATTATACCCTTAAATGTTTCCATCATTAAATCTAAACCTAGTTGAATCTTACGGATGTAACATTCACCTCCAATGCACCCTGTATGGCCTAGTGTACAATTGTCTTATAAACCTCAAGATGCTTCTAATCCATTATTTAACATATCATTGTGTAAATGTGCTAATAATGCACCTTTTGTGTAACTTCACTTTCAAACAGTCTTATCTAAGAAACAAAATGAGGCTATGCCATTGTATAAGCTAGTTCTGTTGGATTAACAACAGCCACGAGTACTGAATACAGTATGTTCATCTTTTGAGTCAAACTAGTATAGTAAGGTAAGACATCACTTTATATATAGAAGTCCATATAATAATGTTCCTATAGTATGGACCATGACCGACCTTGTATTAAAAAAAAATGTCCGACCTTGTAGCTCCTCATTCAAAGCTACCATTCGAGGCATAATCAGGTGGCCATTGGCCCCCTAAATAATATACTAATTCCTGTGATTAAACACCTTAATGTACTGCCATCTAATGCACCAACATCAAGCTCCCATTTAATTTGTTTATTTGTCAAGAAGTTGTTACAAGTCTAATCCCTTTGGATTTCCAAGTTTTCACATGACAAAAGTTTCAGCTCAGCTTTTCAAGCTAATTCAATTCTAGATCTATTGTATACCAAACATTTCAACTTCACTGTCGCAAAAAGTGACTTATTCATCCAACCCAATATTACAAGAAGATTTTTTTTGATGAAGTAAATAATTTCATTGCTAACATCAAGTGGATGTACAATTGTTACAAAAGTAGAGTAGCAAAAAGAACTTATCAGCTCCTGTACATATCTAGTTGAGAGCTAATGAGCTGATAAAACTCAAGAGGGTAATAAGGTTAGACCCAACTATACAACAACATAAGACAACTAGCTTTTAGAGATTAGCAGGTAGTGATATTCCATCAAAGCATCTCCTATTTCTTTCATTCCAAATTCTCCAAAAAATAGCTACAGGTATCATCTTCCAAATTTTCTTGATGGTGCTATCAACTTTCCAGCAACACCAACTCTCAAAACCATCCTTGATACTCTGTGGCATGACCCAATTGAGTTCAAAAAGTGTGATAAACATACTCCATAAGTCTGTTGATACTGAACAATGTCTATAAAGGTGGTTGTGTGACTCTGCTACCTTCATGCACTAGGTTATCTTGAATCAAACATCCTCTGTGCAGTGCTGTTCAACTGAAGCAACTAGTTTTAGGAAGTAATTTGACTTCCCAAGGCCAAAGGGCAGTGATTGCATTTTGTGGGTATAGAAGCTTATATGCGACCTTGACTGAAAACTCCCCAGTCCTGCTATCTCCACATTTTAGTTGATCTGGTGCAAGGCCGTTGATTGTGGCATTGTGAAGTGCTCCCAAAAGGCTGATCAACTCTTCCATCTCCCAGTCTTGTATGTTTCTTCTGAGGTTGGGGTTCCATGAGTTTCCATCCCTGTGTTGGTGTATTGTAGCATCTGGCTGATTTGCTATCTGGAATATGTTGGGGTAGGCAACCTCTAGAGGGGTGTTGCCCAACCACTTATCTCTCCAGAAACTGATGTGTTGGCCATTCCCTATTATCAGGTGTCTGTATTGTGAGAACATCTTCGATAGCTTGCTTATGCTTTTCCAGAAACCAACCCCATAAGGTTTAGTTGAGACTTTAGAGCACCAGTGATTCAAGGCTCCATGTTTGGTAATAATGACTTACTTCCATTGCCACTGATCTTCCTGAGTGTTTCTCCATAGCCACTTCATTAGTAAGCACTGGTTGTGTAGTGCTAGGTCTTTGATGCCCAGGCCACCTAGATCTTTTGGGCTTTTGGCAACAAGATCTTATCCCACTTGACCAAATGAAATTTGTGGCATCTAAGATTTCCTTCCCATAAAAAAAGTTCCTTCTAGTTTTATCTAGTTGTTTATGTGCCTTACTGGTGATGGGATGGAGTGACATACTATGAGTTGGGATGCATTCAAGCACACGGTTGATCAGTGTTATTCTGCCACCCATAGAAAGGTATTGCATCTGAAAACTTCTTGAGAATAAAAGTTGTGTATAGTGTTGCTTTCTTCTATTGCGATGGATGCCATTCCATCAAAATTAGCAAAAGGCTCCAACTTTCCTGCTTAGTGTATAATCTTTCGAAGAATGCCAATGTCTTACTTTTGATTTCCTCCTCTTCAATAGTGGCATTTCCCACCAGAAGTCTGTCTATGCTATTGGATCTACTGTTTGAGTTAGCAATCTTTTGAAAATATTTAGTGTGTTTCTGTCACCTTCCTTGAGCCAAAGACAACTTGATTTCTGCCTTCATGAAATCTCCTGTGTTTTTGCCAACTATTGTATCTCAGCTTTCAAATTTGTCATTTGACTTGCCTCAGCTATATTCAATTGTCTGCCAGGTGTTCTGTTCCAATAACATCAGCTAATCTAGTGCGTTGCCTTTCCTAGTCTCCAATTTCCCAAATTCCTCCTTATTCCAGTTGATGATATCCTTCTTTAGGCTCCTTAGTTTCTGCATAATTTGTCCAAAAATCCATCTACCTCCAGCCACATATTTTCAAATTTAAAGTAAGATGGAGTGGCATCCTAGTTGCCATTTCTAGCAAAATGGGCCTATGATCTTGAAATATACATCCTCCCCGCTTAGGAACAGTCCTTGAACATTGTGTTGGGTTATGAATAATTGCCAGCTTAGAAAAAAAATACTACAAGGGTATTTAAATTCTGTTGCAATTGGCTTAGATTTGGACAGTGTAAGTACTAGTTGTTACTGTTGGTTTTTTAATAAAGAAATAAAGAAAATAACAGAGAAAGTCTTTGAGAGAAAAAATTCTGCAGTCTCACACCCACTTCAATCATTCCCCCGTTTTGGTCAAGTTTAGTAAAGATAGGTTGAAGTATGACAACATGCCATTTAGGTCTGAGCCTACGTGGTGCAAACCTCCCACTGTCCCTGGGCTTGTCCAAAATTCTTTTTGCCTCACTGTTGGTTTTTTAATATAAAGAAAATAACAGAGAAAGACTTTGAGAGAAAAAATACTGCAGTATTTTCAAAGGGAATTGTTTTATTAATGATTCAGAGACATACATTTATAGATATAATTCCTAACTAAAAAATAGAAAAATATGCTACTAACTTATCAGTTAAATTTAAAGAACAAATAAAAGAACTAACTCCTAAATTTAAGTCACATAGGACTCTAATAAAATAATTTAAAAATCCTAAAAGTAGCTAACTTATTTATTCTGCAATATAGACATATTCTCAACACTCCTTGGATCAGGAATTGTAGATTGTAGTCTCATCTGAAATTGACCTTGTGAACAAATCTGCTAATTCATCCTTTGTCATGCAAGGCTTGTGTGCATCTTCTGTTGGATTAAATGAGAAACTTTTACCTCTCATTTCAACTTGTAAAATCTCTTGCTTAGTAGAATCAAAGATTCGACAATATTTGTCTCCAAATAATAATTTAAACCCTTTTTCTATTAACTGACCAACAATAAACAAACTTTTATCAATATCAGGCACATAAAGAACATCTGAAATTATTTTTGAACCTGAATTTGTTTTAATTGAAACAGACCCTTTTCCTTTTGTAGGAATACAATCACCATTCCCAATTCTGACTTTCTTATTTTCCATAGGAATGAAGTCTTTAAAAAGATTTCTTTCATATGTCATGTGGTTTGTACAACCACTATCAATCATCCAAAAAATCAGTTTTTTTGGCTGAAAAACAAGTTGCCACAAATAAGTGGTCTTCTTCTTCTTCAGTAGTGACTTGGGCAACTGTTTCACCTTTTTGAAATTTGCTTTTGCAAATCACAACTTCATGGCCAAGTTGTTTGCAGTTCTTGCACTGTGCATCTGGTCTTTTCCAACATTTATATGGAGGATGTCCATTTTTTTCCACAGTGCTGACAAGGTGGGTAATTTTTCAAAAATTTACCCTTGCTTTGAGTTTTGTGGCTCGCTACTAATGCTCCTTCAACCATGCCATCTTGCCTCATAAGTCTCCTTTGTTCCTGAGCCTGCAAAGAATTTAACAATTCTGCCAAGGTAATTTTGGACAGATCTTGTGTGTTTTCCAAGGTACTTATACATGTTTCATATCTTTCGGGCACGGTAACAAGAACTTTTTCAACAATTCTTGTATCTTTAAATTCAGTGCCTACTAATCTTACCTTGTTGACAATACCAAGCAATCTGTCAGAGTATTCCTTGACTGTTTCTGACTCTTTCATTCTCTGCAATTCGAATTCCCTCATTAAATTTAATACCTTCATTCCTCGTATTCTTTCATCTCCAACATATTCTTTCTTCAGATAATTACAAATATCTTTTGGTGATCTGAGAGTCATGATTTTCGTGAAAACAGTTGTCGAAACAGCAGCAAACAAAGTTGCTTTTGCCTTTGACTTAATGGTTTTCTTTTCCTTGTGACTCTTGATCTGGGCCACAGTGAGATTATTTGGCAGCGGATTAATTTCATAATCCTTTTCCACGGCTTCCCAAAGATCAAGAGCCTCCAAGTAAGTTTCCATTCTCACAGCCCATAGTTGATAATTATCACCATCAAAAATAGGAGGAGCCATTCGTGAAAAACTATTTTTGGAATCCATTTTTCGACTCACAGATCCCTCAAGAAGAAGGCTCTGATACCAATTGTTGGTTTTTTAATAAAGAAATAAAGAAAATAACAGAGAAAGACTTTGAGAGAAAAAATACTGCAGTATTATCAAAGGGAATTGTTCTATTAATAATTTAGAGACATACATTTATAGATATAATTCCTAAACTAAAAATAAGAAAAATATGCGACTAACTTATCAAGTTAAAATTTAAATAACAAATAAAAGAACTAACTCCTAAATTTAAGTCACATAGGACTCTAATAAAATAATTTTAAAAATCCTAAAAGTAGCTAACTGATTTATTCTGCAATATCCTGAGGCATATTCTCAACAGTTACATCAACTAAATTTTCTCTCCTTAGTATGACAGAAGCAAAGAACTTTCGAAAACTTTCTTTATCTTCAGTCAGTTGCAACAACTTAACAACTCGTGTGTAATCAAAAGACTTGCAAGTTACAAACTCGTTTTATCGGAGCACCATGGCCTCCACCTCCAATGAGTGTTTCTGGCTATCTGAACACTTACCTGCATTCAGTTTGTATAAACACCTCTGATGCAAAGTATAATGTGCAATATTTCTTAAGACTGTTCACATTGTAGTTGCATTCGTTTACCTTGGTTTAGATGACTTTCCTATAATTCATGTACATCAAACTACAACATTAAATACTACCAACATTAAATATCTAAGGTCAACCATCTTTTGTGTGTTCCTTACAATAAGAATCTGTTCACATTACAATTGCATATTCACAATTCCTTCAGTAATATGAAATGGAGAACAAAACATAATGTTTCACCTTAGCCCCGAATCATATTCTTATTTCCCCCAGGACTTACAATTTTGGATCTCTCCCAAAAATAAATTTAAAGTTTTGGAAGCTACCCGAAACTAATTTAACCTGCTCAAACAAAAACACACACAGACACTTCCAGCTACTCCATCCAACAATATGGAAAAATCGTGATGCACCATTATACACAACAGTGCTACTACACATCTCTAGAAGCACCAGCTTACTATCAAATTACTCAACCATAACATATATATATATATATATATGTATCATAAATAATTCATATCGCTTGGAATCTTGATTCAATGAGGATACTTTGTCATGATTTATAAACATCTCAGTTTCTGTACACCCATGTAAGCGCATATGATGTTCCTTTACTTACTGTGTTGTTTACACTTGTAAGCAATTTATTATCAAGTCATGCATACTTGGCTTCAAATTTGGACTTCCCTCTATTGTGACTTTATTTGCCACATGAATTGTTTTCTCATATCTAGTCTTATCCTAAAGCAAGTCTCATAAATGACTCCCATCTTCATAAAATACCTAGGACACTTGAACCCAGTGCGATGATGCCAAGTTTTTCACAACCCATTTTCTAAACAAGTTGTGATCGGCACCCGAAGTGATGCCATAACTTGACCGAGCAAACCAACTTGAGTTTTCTTGCATGTACATTAATATCACATACCCTACGTGCATTTAAAATAAATATCTAAACTTTTGGATCAAAACTCTATTCCAATAGTTCTTTAATAATCCAAGTATATATTGAAATTTGTAAAATAGAAAGTACGGAAAATAATGCAAAGTAATGTGACAACCATAAGCCAACTAAAAACACGTCTATGAAGCCTCTATTGGAATACCAAGGGGTATGCATAGGGCATAGATTTCCGGGCTAATCCCCAAATAAATACAAGTTACACGAATAATGAATAAAAATATTTAACTGAAAGAGAAGAAACTCCATGGTCAAATCAACTTTTAGAATAAAGCAACCTAACTTGTAGTCTGCTCATTTGTGAAACCCGCGTCTTCATTGACATAGGTCAATGTAGGTTCCGCAAAGAGAAATCCAGTACACCACTAGCGGTACTCAACGAGTTTCGACATTCTCCTCACTAAAGTCCGAATGAGACCTTGAATAAAAACACGTGGGTAATGAATGGATAAGAGAGGAAACAAGTCATAATTCATCCTCAAGTATCTTATAAGAGTGAAGCAGAAAAACAATCACTAAAACTTATAGCTTAGTTTACTAATTCATTCTTTTAACTTTCTTTAAGTTGTTTTAGTCGGGTGAACTTTTTTTATGCCCAACTGTGGCAATTAGTAACCCTTTATATGGTTACTCGTGGCCCTTTATATGTCCGCCATTTATGTTGTGCCTTATTTTGAAAAGTTATTAACCTTTTATATGATTACTCGTAACCCATTGTAAGGTTACCATTTATCTAATGCCTCATTATGAAAAAATTAGTAACCCTATATACGGTATGCTTCCAGATTTTTAACTTTATCAAAGTCATAATAGGGTACTTTGTGGCTTTCATCACTATGAAAGAGCACCACACAATTCTGGAGGCTTTCTTGGTCATGTTTCTAGGAGAATGAAGCACTTTTTTTGGGCTGATAAAGATGCACAAAGCACTCATACACAAATAAGAACAACCTTCATATTCATTAGACGAATAAGCACAAGGAGGAAAACATAGAGCACTGGATAGACTCTTTCAACGATAAGCAATGTGAGGTCACTCGTATCAATTAAACTCCTAACTTTAAGAAACATTTAATCAAACACTTTCTAAGCATGACTTTGTAAGGAAAGAACTTGAGTAAGAGCAAGTCTAAACTCACCTCAAAGGTCTTCCTTTCTAGTAAGGTAACTTCTACGCTTGCCAACAACAATCAACAACTCAATTTCTAAGGAATTCACAATAATTCAGTGACACTTGAATTTAATCATACCTATTTACTAAGTTGCTTGGGCTCTCTACTTTTGGTGTTGCACCCGTGTCGACATGACATGGGTATGGGTGTGGGATCCGTGTCCGATTTGGTCAACCAATTTTGGGTACTTTGACCAAAATCGATAAGGAAAACCTGGACAATTTTAATGATTTCTGTAATCCATACAAAAGGTAAGGTGAAATTGAAGAAATTAGAATGCCTGTTATATAGAAATTTCTATGTCACTCATTTTCCTTTAATCTCCTTCCATGATTCTCCTCAAGTTCTCCACATAATATCTCATAATTAAGGTTTTATAACTCTATATTTAGATATTTGATTATATTAAGGGGAATCCCCGCAACAGTGTCCATACATGGATCCATATATGTGAATCTTAAAAATTAGATCATGAAGGATCCAACCTCTAGATCCTTACTCGTATCGTACACCCACACTCGAGTCCGGTCAACTTAGCTTATTTAAACAAGGATATTACATACTAGATTACCTTTAATATTCTTGTTGAAACCTTGTCATGACCCAAAAACCGAGGTCATGATGGCACACACTTCGAGAACCCAAATTGGTGTGTATGCCGAATGAATAACTCATACGAGACTTCTGAAGGGAAGTCACACCACAACAAAAGAGAAATGATAAACAACAAAGGAATTCCCAAAACCTGGTATCATAAGAATAAAGAGCATCTAATACATTTCTAGAATCTGGAATACATATCAAGTCTTCGGAAAAAAATTAAAGACTGTAAATGATAGATGACAACTAATGGCGATCCGGAAAGTAGGAACTCACCACAACTTCGAATGGGAAGAAATCGTTAGATCCGATCAGCTGCTATGAAGATCACCCTGACTAGCATCAGCATCAAGAAGATAACAAAAATAAGAGTGAGTACAATCCACACGTACTCGTTAGGTTAGACCGACATAATATAAGCAACTAATCAGACTTAAGAAATAAACTATAAAACACTTCCACCTGCATATAGAAAAGTCCCATGAAAAGGAGTCCAATGATACTCATAATGACAAGATTAGAAAATCGAGGGTAAAATAGTCCAAAAATTACTTCGAAAATTGGAAGGGTAAAATCAGTTTTTACTCAAAAAAACACAATCCACAACCAAAGAGGAAATCGTGGTTGAAAAACCCATTAAAATCTATCAAGAAACGAGCTCTAATTCATGAAAATACCAATTTTCCAACTTAGGGGAAGAACCTCAAAACCCACATTGAAATCAAGATTTAAAAGGTGTTTCAGATGATAAAAGTTGAAGGAAACGATAAGGAGTTGATAGGGGTACTTACCCACACAAACTTCACCAAGAAAAACCTCCAAGAATCGCCTCTCCTAAGCTCAAATCGAGTGAAAATGGAGGAAATGGGAAAAATCCCAAGTTTAGGTTCTGTTATGGTAAAAATTGGTCATCGCGATCGTGAGCCACTGATTTTCGCTATCGTGAAGAACACGGAGGCTACACATCACAATCGCAAGACCCTTGTTCGCGATTGCGAAGGTTAAGGGATGGGACTCATCGCAAACGTGAGCCTATGGGTCGAGATCGCGAATACCAAAGAGAAGACACATCGCAACGCGATCCTATGGGCTGTGACCGCGAAGGTCAAGGTGACCTGCACCAGAAACCAGAAAACCAGCAGTTCAAACTCAAGATTGATGTCCCCGAATGGACCCTCAAGAATCGTTCGGGGTCCGATAAAAATAAACTAGACATTCCACCCCACTAAATTCGACATTTTTGACTCAATGGAATCGTTGAATCTATAAGAAAAGGTCAAATGACAGAATTACCCTCCTGAACCCCTCTTTAGGCTTAAAACTCAACTTCTCACCCAAATGTTGAAAACTCAACCCAAGGCCTCAGCAACCTGACCACCCATCTTACTAGCTCAAAATAGACGTTCTGGATGCAATGGAACTGGCAAAATCTCCATCCGATGCTTGGAATTCAAAATATTGACCAAAGTCAACCATACCAATAATACTCAACTTGAAAGGGTCAATATCACCAAAAACTCACTGATCGCATCTGGGACCACACCAATCGTTCCCGTAACATGAATTAAGCATGAAGACGCTAAGGGAAGGGAAAAATGGTCATTTCACAATTAAAAACAATTTCACAAGAAATGGTACATTACAAATCCACTGTAGAATAGATTTCAAT